CGTGAATCGAACCATTCGATCCGTGAATCGAAGCATTCGATCCGTGAATCGAACCATTCGATCCGTGAATCGAAGCATTCGATCCGTGAATCGAATCATTCGACCCGTGAATCGAAGCATTCGATCCGTGAATCGAAGCATTCGATCCGTGAATCGAATCATTCGATCCGTGAATCGAAGCATTCGATCCGTGAATCGAATGATTCGATTCCAAAACCGAATGGTTTGATGCCAGAATCGAATGGTTTGATTCTCTTTTCTGATATAAAATCAAATAATGTTTAATCAAAACATTTAAAACAGGAAATTTATGTCGATTTATTGCAGATAACATATGATTAAATAATCAAATATTATATGCGATAAATCAAATGTTATATGCAATAAATCAAATGTTATATGTGATAAATCGAATGTTATATGTGATAAATCGAATGTTATATGTGATAAATCGAATGTTATATGTGATAAATCGAATGTTATATGTGATAAATCGAATGTTATATGTGATAAATCGAATGTTATATGTGATAAAATCAACCAGAAAACAAAAATCTAATTATGAAACAAAAAACATGCCATAGGCCTATTATGGTACGTGTCTCATGAGCAGATGCTGGCTGAATTCCCTATGGGCAGAGTCGTACTCTATTATGCTTAAATCTGTTCAACGTATTACTTATGTTCCTGAACGCCGACTAAGAAGTGGGCAGAACTACCGCGCTGATATGTTTTTACACGGTGTAAACGATGCACATATAATTCACACAACCCTTGTATAATTTATATATATTTGTATTGTTTTGCTTACAATCTATAGAAAGTATGGACAATGAACGTGTAGTCACGCTATCCCGACGAGACTTAAATTAATGACAACATCCACGCGAGATCGATCAATCTACTGATGTTGAACAAAACGTATCGCATATCCTACACGATAGATGCGGTGGTCGCTCCGATGGAGCAACAATTGTGCAGCACTTAGTAGTAATGGAAACCTTCGGCTCAATTGCCCCTCGCCATTGCTGCAGCGAATGCTACCAACCTAAAGCAGTGGAAAGTATACAATGCATGTATACAGAAACCTATACATGTACAGAGAGAAAAATGTAGTTGGGTTCTAAAATATCACCAAATAGCGGTAATATGCTAGACAACGCTATTCCAGAGAAGATTAATGGAGATGTGTTCTCCGAATCGTTCCCTGATATAGTTCCAAAATGATTAATACTGTTTCACACGCTATTCATAACACGTTCACAAATATTGTAGAATTGTGGTGTGTGATAATTGCCTGGTATACAGCAATAAAATAAAATAAAAAGTTCGACGCATTTGTAATAAAATCAGTAGTAAAGGTATAAGTAGATTTCAGTCATTCTCTAGGTTCTCTTTCCTGCAGTGCCACTAACGTACATATAGTGAATACGATCGTATTTTAATATACCAAACAGAGAACAGGGCCGTCGCCAGGGATTGACTAATGTTGAAGCCCAGTCACGAAGGCGCGAAGCACCGTAAAGGGGGAGAGTGTGTGAGGGGGTTTCCACCTCCCCCGAAATTTTTTGAAATGCTACATGGAAAATGGTGTATGCTGGCGAGTTTTAAAATGAAATTTTAATATTTGAAACAATAACAAGTACATTGCAGCTGTTTAATTTCACAATTTAAAAAAAAAGTCCGGAAATGATGTTGAAGCCCGAGCTTCCGGGTCTCCGCCTGGCGACATGCCTGGAGAAGGGTCCCGAAACTCTGAAAGGGATCGAATACTTCGGGAGCGCGGCCGGAATACTGTCGAATTCCGATAAACCTTTACGCTATATATATCATTTGTTCTGAATAACTGGATCTAATTACTAATTTCAACCAGAGAGATATTTTTGCCACGTATGAGAAAAATCAAACCTGCAGCCACAAATCTTTATAGAGGATGTGTTCTCCTGTCCTAATAAGGGCCTCTGATCAACCATCTGCATCCGCCTCGATAGATATAAATATATATATAGGGCGATGCGCAATTAATCGTTTATCGTGTGCTTCCCGAAAAGATCTTTGCAAAAGATTTTCAAAAACGTTTGGAAGATTATTTAATTGGGTAAGAAAT